GGTGATAACTGCAGGATAAAACTTCTGCTAGGAACTGTTTGCTGCAGCTGAAGCATTGCATGAGGTTCCTAGCACGACTTCACAGCCTGGCTGGGGTGTAAAAAGCCCAGGTTCAGTTTCAGGGTTGAGAGGGTAGAAAAGAAGGATCTGGGAGATCAGATATAGAATCATAGAATGGTTAGGGTTGGAAGGGACCTCAAAGATTGCCTAGTTCCAACCCCCTTGCCGTGGGCAGGGAAACCCTTCACTACACCAGGTTGCCCAAAGCCTCATCCAACCTGGCCTTGAACACTTCCAGGGTTGGGGCATCCACAACTTCTCTGGGCAACCTGTTCCAATGCCTCACCACCCTCAGAGTGAAGAATTTCTTAGATTTCTCCACAGAAATCTCCCCTCTTTCAGTTTAAAGCCATTGCCCCTTGTCCTATCACTACACACCCTTGGAAAAAGTCCGTCTCCAGCTTTCCTGTAGGCCCCCTTTAAGTACTGGAAGGCTGCTATAAGATCACCCCGGAGCCTCCTCTTCTCCAGACTGAACAGCCCCAACTCTCTCAGCCTGTCTCCATAGTAGAGGTGCTCCAGCCCTCTGATCATCTTCATGGCCCTCCTCTGGACTCGTTCCAGTAGCTCTATGTCCTTCTTGTGTTGGGGACTCCAGAGCTGAACACAGTATTCCAGGTGGGGTCTCATGAGAACAGAGTAGAGGGGCAGAATCCCCTCCCTCGACCTGCTGGCCACACTGCTTTGGATGCAGCCCAGGATACGGTCGACTTTCTGGGTTGCCAGCGCACATTGCCGAGATCCTTCTTAGAGGATAGAAAAGATGGATCTGGGAGACAGCAGTGGACAAATTCAGTGCGCAGTAGGAGGTTTGCTTTGTAGAAAGGCCAGCTGTGTCTGATGACTCACTGCATTTCAGAGAACAAGGAGCTGGTGATTCAGCTGGCCAGGATGCTGTTTGCTTGGGCCACAATTTATAAATGTTAGCTGGAAGGAAACGGGATCGAAAGGCCCCATGAAAGGCTCATTGCTGAGTAAACATCTGGGCATCTCAACTTAAAACGTGCTGCTCCTTGGGGCTGCAGGGCAAGTCTGTGCAAGACCTGTCATCGTTCCATGGCTGTGTTCCTGATAGCACATGTCCGTGCTTTCTGGGCCTTGGGCCCTTTTCTCCCTTCTTCCACCTCTCCAAACAAAAGCAGATGGATGCTTGGCTCTCCTTAAAGTCTGATTTTGGTGCCTTCAGCCCTGCTTCTACATGACCTCACATGAATGCCCACCGTTGTGGGCAGACAGGTGCAAGCAGAGCAGGAGTGCCCATGGGTGATTTTGCTGAGGTGGTGACTCCTGGGAGCCCAATGTGACTTTTGACAATGAAGCTTGGGCCACATGGTCTCCCATGTGGGCTTCGCACCCACGAGTGGTCTCAGCTGTCTGCAAGTGTGATAGTTATGGAGGAACAGCTAGAATAACACAATAGCCAGGAGGAAGCCCATGGTTGCCCCAGTCACACGACAGAGCTGCTCCTGAGTGCTCTCTGGGGGTTTGAGCTGGACCATATGATGGCAATTTGTTGAGCCACCAGAGCATTGGCAGCCTCCAGTGACTGAAAGCATCTGGAGAGCTTATGAGGTGTTAATGTGACAGAAATCCCCCAGCTGAGCTGCCCAATGTGGGTTTTGTTTGTTTTTTTTTTTTCCCCTTCCAAAGAGCATTTTAATCAGATACGGTAATTTGTAGAAAACTCTGACTCAGGGCCCCTGGGGGGGGTGCGGGCTGCAGCACACAAAGGGAAGGGACCAGTCCCACTGCAAACTGGATCTGTACAGTATCAAGCAACATGCTCAATCCAGCAGCCTCTTGAATAATCCAAGTGACTAAAAAAGCCATCCCAGGCGAGCCTGAATGCTGCTGTAAATGGGCAAACGCGTGAGCTGTGTCAGCTGGTTGCTCCTGCCTCCTTTTGGCTTGGGGGAAGAGGGTGAGCAGAGCCCAAGGAGCAGCGTGGGTGGCCAGACCCTTCTCTCCAGCCTGGTCTCAAGCAGACAGCACATCCCCGTGGTCCCCTTCAGGGCCAGCTCAGTGTGGCCGAGCTGGGCAGTGAGGGCAGAGTCCGTAATTGTCATGGTAGGTCCTGGCCTGATGCTTATGAGATCCACTGAGACTTCTGCCCTGATCCTGATTAAACACAGACTTCCACCTAGGATGTTCTTTTCCTAATTTGTCTCCTTTTCGCTAATAAATCAAATATATTACAAGAGCAGGGGGCAAGAATTACTATCTAGTGCAGTACTTTCTTTTTGGAGGAAATCAGCTTGAAGTGGTCACCAGATATCTCTGGATCTTTGTCTTGCCTCTTTTTCTGGGTATTCCCTTGATGTGTGAGCTCCCTTCCCTCTCCCCCAGCCACAATCTCCCATAATTTTGGAATAGTTTCTCTGATTTGGTGTGGGTTTGGTCTTTTTCAAGCAAGGAGCCACCAGTGGGATATGTATTTAGCTGCAGGCCATGCATATGTAATTGCAGAGTGCAAGGCGAGAGGTCAAGTTGAGTTGTGTGAGCACAAAGATGTTTTTATAGAGATTAGCTGTTTTTTGTGTTTAAAGCCTTATCTTGTGTCATCTAGAATATAGGCGAGAAGAGGGTAATTTTCCCAGTGTGGTGTCTCATAGTGGCAGTTCAATGCCAGGACGTGTTTGAGGGCCTTCAAGAGCAACGGGGCCTCTTGAGATGTTTGTCAGGAATGAGAAGGGGTTGTGGTCCTGTGTAATGGGAGACAGATAAGAACAGGATGCTGTCACCTCTTCGAAGATGCATCAGTCTGCACGCTTATAAGTACCAGGGTGTGCCACTTCTGGCATCACAGATGTGATGCCAGGGCCTTCATAAATCTGGGATCTGAGTTTCCAGATTTTTTCACTTCTTTTGCTTTCAAGACAGGTATTGGTTTTTAGCTGGATTCCCATCTTTAGATGATAGCAGTGGCTGAATTTGGTCTTACTTCATGTACTTTGTGATAAGTTGCTTACATAGCCTTGGAGCTGAGAGCAGGAGTCTGAAGGACAGTGATGTGCTTGTAGTCCTTAGCTGCTAAGGATTAAAAGGCAAGTTTTGGGGGGGTGATTGGAGAAAGCGTGGGGAGAAGACATACAGAAATGCAGAAATAAGCTTGTATAACCTTGTAACTGTAAAATTCAGGGTGAGGAGCAAGGCCCAAACTGTCTTTGGAGGTCATCCTTGAAACGAACAAGTGGATAAATAGGTCAGGCCAGTGACTGACTGCAGTTTGGTTACTATCTCTGAAGGTTTAGTTATGCTCGAACTGACGCTAGGCTCCTAGAGTCACCAGGCTCCTGCATGGCTCAGGGCAGTCCTTCCCTCTGCACCGCCTGTTGCTGCTTGTTATTGAGGTTGTAGGAAGGTTTGTTGGAGAAAATCAGAGCCCTAGAAGAGCACAGTTATACCCAGTGGGTACAGCTGGAGAGGAGATAGCTAACTCTAGGTCCTCCATGAAACCTCTCTTTAGGTGGTCACTCCCAATGCAGGAGCTGCCCTGCAGTGAGAGGGCTTCAACAATGGGCCCAGAAAAGTGGTCAGTCTTCCTCGGATCATTGCTCGTGCTAGCACTGGAAAAAAAAAAAAACACAACTAACCGGGATTAAAAGTCTTGCATGGTCACAAGGTGCTTTCCTTTTTTGTGAGGTTTCTTGTTGATGAAGAAGGTCCCTTCCTGTCCCTGAATATTGAAGAAACACCTGGATAAATTCATCTTTCTGCAGTTGGCTTGAAGCTAGGGACAGTAATCCTGGGCTCAACTTCTGCTTTCAGGCGCTCAATGGATTTGTCATCACTGTGACTGGAGATGGCTACATCTTCTACATCTCCCCTACTGTGCAGGACTACCTGGGCTTTCATCAGGTGGGTACCATTTTTTCCTGGCTATAAACAGAAAGACACAGTCCAGTTCTGGGAAGGAGGTGCTGATAGCCATGCCAGGACTTTCTTCTCCCTTCCCAGCTCCCTTGGGTTGTATTTCATGTGTGTTTTTGGATGAGTCATGTTCTTTGGGGGCTGTGAAAGCCAGCAAGTACCATTTGTAACTTTAGTAGGAACAGATGCAAGCTGAGCAATATCAGGGTCTGCATCCTCTTGTCTTTGTGTGTAAGAGGGTTGGAGATTTTTCTTGTATCATGCTGCTGGGCACATACACTCTCACTTACAGAGGTCTGAGAGTATCTCACTGGTGAGCAGCATCAGCACCCTCAAGTACCATGGGTTACATGGGATGCCAAGGAAAAGCACGTCTCTCCCTTATCCACCTTGTTACCTCTGATTCCCCTCACATCCAGCTCCTTTAGCTAAAGGACTGAGTCAACAGGAGGGCTGTGAGGCTGCCAAACACGTTTTGTTGGATGGGCTCCTGGTGTACCTGCCTCTGCATTTTCTTCTTTATCCTCTCTTTGTACCCTTGCCCAGCTCACTGTAGAGGATCCTCATGGGCTGATTCTCCAAGTCAAAGGCATGGAGTGGTCTTCTCAAAGTACCTGTATGTCTTGTTGAGAAGGAGGCTCTGCTCTGACATGTTTCTGAGGGCAGGGACATGGCAGTCAGTGGCCTGAGCTGCCTGTGGGCTTGGCTAGACTGCACTGACCACCACAGCATGCAGGACAGTGATGGGAAAGGCTGGTCCAAGGCATGGCCCTAGAAAAAGGGGGCTGTGTTGGGAGGTAGGAGGTGTGAGGACTTGCTGGTGTTTCTGCTGGGTGGCCAACCCAACAGCCCAGCATCAGCATGTCGGTCTTTCCTGGTGGTCTGCTGAGGGGAAAATGGTTTGCACAGGGATACAGGTTCCCACAGGTTTAGAGTAAAAAAATTCTACAAAAAAAACTTTTTGAAACAGCAAATCCTCCTGCATAAGTCTGAAAAAAAATTAGTTTGATTTGGTCAAAATGTTTTGATCACCTGAAATTATTGAGTTTTATACTGATCCTGTGGAAGAAACAAAACTGCTTATTTGCAGAGGGCTAGAGATGGCAATGCAAGAGAGAGCTTGTGTGCTATTGCAGGTGGGCAATTTGTACCCTACAAACAAATTCCCCTCTGACAATCCACAGCCTTTCTGGATCTTTGACTGAATTTGGTCCTGAGAAGATACTAGAAGACAAGACGTGCCAGGCAAATGCTGCTGCTGCAGCGTTCACCCTGTAAACGGGGAGCAAAGCTTCCCAAAGAGCAGGGGCTCTGGTGGCAGGGCTGGAGTTGCAGTGTTTCCCATGAATTGCAGTTAAGGATCAGGAGCCAGAGCCAGTATGAAATGTCTGTGGAAGGGCTGGGTGACACCAGGAGAACCTCAGCCTTGCCGGTGTGGGGAACGGGGTGGAAAGCTCTGCTTAGCTATGGCCAGGACACATTGAGGAAATGGGTGGTGTTGACAGTCCTGAGCAGCCAGGGTTACATGGACAGCCATTTCTATTGCTTCTAGAAACCTCAGAGCTATTCCCACAATTTCCCCAGACAGACCCACTCTCTGCTCCCTTTTCCTCCTTCTTGAGCCAGCCTGCTCTAAAAAAGCCCCTGATTCCTGGTCCTTGCTCTCGCGCTACACACAGAGCTGGTTGGGTTTGCCTGTTTTGTTACTCTTAATTGCTGCACTTTTAGTATCCCTGAAGGAAAGCCTCCTGCCCTATCCTCCTCCAGACACCTCTGCCAGGCTGGGCAGGAGACGAAGCTCTTCTTCCCTTGTGTCTTTCCAGTCGGATCTCATCTACCGGAGCGTGTACGACCTGATCCACTCAGATGACAGAGACTCCTTCCGCCACCAGCTGTGTTGGGCCCCACCATCTGGCAGCACCCAGCGTGCTGCTGATGGTAAGTGCTGGGATAGGCTCCAGCAGCCATCCCCGGGGACCAGGCAGCCACTTCTCTGTGGCCACTCCATGCTGACAAACCCTCCTGGTGGCATTTATAGCCACCAAGCACAGCCCTGTGCTGAGGAGTATCCCATAGCCTCCCCATGGGACTTGTACCCACCCTGGGGGCTGGCATGGCCGCTTCACTAAAAGCAGCCAATAGCAATGATGTGCTGTTTTTGTCTGTGCTGGAGGCATGAGGACGCTTCCCCCAAACCTTTTTCCTTTTCGAACTTTAAATCCCATTTATTTCAGTAGGGGCAGCTTGTCTTGCTCCTGTCTAAGAGGCAAGCTGAGCTTTTGGGCACTAAAAGCTATCGTGAACAGGTAATTTCCCATGGCAAGGTCTTACCCATCTTGTGAAGATCATCGGTTCACTTGAGCAGCAAAGCCTCCACCAGGAGCAGTTCTGCAAGGCTGTGAGTTCAAGGTGTGCAGCTTGGAAAACTTCATTTTCCTTTTGGTTTCCCAGCCCTTCCCACCAACCAGCTGCCCCCAGCTGGATGCAGCACAACGTCCAGCCCCTGGCACCTCTGCCCTGAGAAGCCCTCCTTCATGGAGAGAAGCTTCACCTGCCGCTTCCGCTGCTTGCTGAATAACTCCTCGGGATTTCTGGTAACACGGCCTTGTGCCGGGACACCCTTGTGCCCCCAGTGTGTTCCCTCGGGGCCACTCACGTCCCATAGAGGTGGGAGCACAGGCAGTTCCCATCACCCTGTTTGCTTCACACACACGTTTTCTAATCCCCTCTAGGCCTTGAATTTCCATGGACGCTTGAAATTCCTTCTCGGGCAGCAGAAGGCAGCATCAGACCGGTCCCCACTTGCCCTCTTTGCCATAGCAAGTCCCCTCCAGCCACTCTCCATCCTGGAGCTTCGGACCAAGACACTGATCTTCCAGTCAAAGCACAAGCTGGATTTCACTCCTATAGCCTGTGATTCCTGGTAGGACATCTCCTGTCTTCCCTGGGCAAAAGCTATGGCTGTGGGTGCTGGACAGAAAGCCAGGGACTGTGGTAACAGGGCACTTCTGACCCAGCTCCTGTGGCAAGTTGTCTGTTGCTTTTGTCCATCTGCTGCTGGGCATTTCTGCAGCCTCCCAGTAACACAAGGAGCAGATTAACTGGGTGCCAGCCCTTCTTCGCTCCCATGTTTTAGCCCAGCAAACCCAGTATTGGGGTTTTGTGGAAGAGGGGACGCAGCTCTGTGCAGGATGGAGAGCTGCACCACCCCAAGTGGGAGGCTCTAGCCAGCTGCCTGAGTTTTGGGCAGGGGATCACACCTGGCTGGTGGGGTGCCACTGGGGGCATTCGTGCCTGGTGTCACTAGGTTTCTGCACTATTTCCAGGGGGACAGTTATTCTGGGGTACACAGAAGCGGAGCTGCGCAGCAGCGGTTCCGGGTACCAGTATGTGCACGTGGCTGACATGATGTATTGTGCGGAGAACCACAGGAGAGGTGAGTGCTGGGGGGGCCATTGGAGCAATTGCTTTTGTGGGGGCCCTTGCAGCTCCCTGGCACTGGTGTAGCTCTGCCATGCCAGTGCTGTTACTCTTTGGTGGGCCAAATGTCCCAGGTCTGGAGCAGCTGTGATAAGGGCTCTCCCCTCCAGGGTGATAGCTGTTTGGGGAGCCTGCAAGGGGACAGCATGGCATGTGGCATCGTGTGCTGGCTGCGTCCTGCCTCTTGTGCCCCTGTAGCACAGGTGATGCTCAACATCTTGCCCGTGCCATCTATCTGCCCCTATGGAGTGACTGTGTCAGTGCCACCTCTCTTCTCTCCCTGCCCCAGTGATGAAGATGGGGGAGAGCAGGCTGTCGGTTTTCCGGCTGCTGACCAAGAAGGGCAAGTGGTTGTGGGTGCAGTCCAGCACCCGGCTGGTGTACAAAGGGGGCAAGCCTGACTGCATCATTTCCCAGCAGCGAGTCCTATCGTGAGTATCGCTGGGCTTGCGTTTGCCTGCTCTCGGCGTGGGTGGCTGCAGGGGCTGCTTGGGGCGCGCTGAGGGGAGGGCAGTTGGGTTGCGTGGTTGACACTTTGCAGCATGTACCCTCCTGTGGCAGAGGGGCCTGAGCAAAATGGCTCAGAGAAGGAGGTTGCAGACATGCTCGCTCCTGCCCGGGGTGAGCCCTGGACACGCAGCCCTTCTCTGAGCCATGCAGGTCTCCCCATGGGCTCCTAGAGCCTCAGTCCTCCACCAGCAGCATCATAGCCAGCCCAGTCCAGCACCGTTTTCTTTGGAAAAGTGGGGGCAGGACTATGAGCTCCCATCTTACTGGTGGGAGGGTGATTTTCCTGGCCTGGAGGAGGTGCTCATGCTTTTTCTGTCTCTTTTTCTCTCCACCTTGAAGGAATGAAGAAGGGGAAGAACATCTGCGGAACAGAAGCCTGCAGCTACCTTTTAGGTTTGCCACAGGGGAAGCAATCCTATACAGGAATGACGTTCCAGAGTTTCTGGACTTCTTCCAGTCTAAGGAGGAGTTGCAAACACAAGCAAACTCCCGAATGGGACAGTGCTTGGTAAAGCCCAGCTCTCTTCTTGGGGCCATGATGAAGCAAGATGCATCCATATATATCTCCCACACCGATAACGTGCCTCAGTTCTCCTTGCCAGATCTCATCACTGAGCCTGATGGACCAAGCCAGAATGAGGAAGTTGGTGATGCCATAGAGGACAGTGACTCCCCCGTGCTCATTACCAAAACCCTCTTTGAGAAGAGTGAGGTGGACGGAAACATCTGCCAGACCCTCAATGCGGACAATGCAGAGCTGCAGCAATGGGAGGAGTCTCTGCTCAGCTTGTGTGCAGAGGAGACGCCACCAGGTCAGGAGGTTGGTGAGAGGCTTGGCACAGAGGTGACCTCCTATGTGGAGCAGATCCTCCTCAGGGAGGACACAGGGAAGAGCATGGATTTCCAGTGCTGTGATGCATCATCCTTCAATAAGGAAAACAGTGCTGTGGCTCATTTCCAGCACTGCTGGGCAACTAATCCAACAGTTCAAGCCCCACCACAGCCCCAGGCACCTGGTGCACGAAGCCAAGATGCTGTGGTCTCTCTAGTCTCTGTTGTATCTGAGGTCAGCTCTGCTCAACCAGAACAGCAGGTTCTATTTAACCCACCTGAGCTGGTGGAGAGGACTGTTCCGGATGTCCCAGGCTGCAGCAGCAAGCCCTCTGTAGCACTTCAGCTGGGAAAGCTGGGACAAGTGGTTCAAACAGAAGTAACCACCTCTGCTCCTGTAGATAACACTATTCCTGATGATCAGAGCTGGCCTGGATGTGAGCTGGTGAGCCCAAGCTGCCCACCTCCGTTGGACTCAAACATACTAGTGACTCAGTGGCATGATGTCCTGGTTCAGGCAAACCCAGCCAATGCTTTGGGTGAGAGTGCTTCTCCTGGAGGTTGCCTATCGGAGGCTTGGATGGACACAGCTCCAGAACAGCTGGAAGCAGCAGGAACACACCTAGAGTCACAAACTCTGCTGGCTGGCAGCCCTGAGAGTCCTCCGGGGGCTGGGCTGTGGTTGCTGCCCTCCCAACCTGCTCCTTGCCCTGCGTGGGGCTTGCATGACTCCTTGTTCTCTGGAACTAGAGACCTCCATGAGGAGGAGGCTGCTCTCCCTGCACAAGCATCAGCACCCTTAGGAGTCAGCCAGCTGCCAGGGGATGGTGGCTTCCCCAAACAGCCTCCGATACTCCCCTTGGAGCCCAGCTTTTCTTGGGAAGGGGAGCAGGACAAGAGGTTCTTGCAGTGCCAGCCGTGGCTCCCGCAGGCTGGCACAACTCCTCAGAGATGTGGTGGAGCAGGTCTGGTGCAACACAGCATGCTCCCGCTGGGGTCCAGCGCAGGTCCCAGCATCCACTGCACAGACCATGTTGTGCTGCCTGAGTGCCAGTATGGAAATAGCCTTTTTGGACATGAAAGTAACTTTTTTAGGGATGCCTCTAAAACATCCCTTCCGCAGCATGTGGATGCCCTGCCTTGCCCCAGCGAGAGCCATCCTGGAACATCATGTTCCTCACCAGCCTCAGTTTTGAGGTGCTCACCAGCTCTGCCTGCGAAGGTGAGTGCAGGAGTGCCTCCCTCCTCCGAGCGAGGCCCTGGCTTCCCATCAGCATCCTTTGCCAGTAGCAGCCGCTCTGTGCCTGCAAGGTCCAGCTCAAGGTGAGGTGCAAGGGCTGCAGGACCTAAGAGGTGTACCGGTTCAAACGGATGGAGCGAGGGATAGTGCCAGGCAGATACAGGCACAGCATCGGTTGCGGGCAGCCTGTTTTGAAGCCTCGCTGTGAACTAGGAGCTACATTTTGAAAAGCCACCAGCTTTTTCCATGAGCTCTTCTGGCTGTGCACACCTGCGAATGGTGCCTGACGCTTCCCGCTCACTCAGGATTTTGTCTTCTAGTGCCTGAAACAAGACAGTCTAGGGTGAAATGTTTTGGGTTTTTTTCCATGCGAAGTCTTTCAGGGAGATGCAGCAATGCCAGTGGGAAGGTTTGTCAGACTCTTGGGGTCCAAGAAAGGGCACCCTGCATGCTGGCCTGCATGCTCCTGGCAGCCTCTTGCAGATGGACCTGCTGGACTTACAGGCACTGCAGCACTGAATTGCCATTTCTTGATGCAGCGTGTTCTTCTCGTTACCTGTGTGTGTGGACCGCCCTTGTCAGGTTGCTGTTTGGTCCCCTCCATTGTCTTGGCCTGCCTGAGCCTCTCTGCTCTGCCCCTGATGACCCAGTTCCTTTAGAAAAGGGGACATTACCAAGCACTTTGAAAAGTTCAGCAGCATTTGAAGTGTCTCTGTGGGAGGTGGAGTTGGTGAGAGCAGAGGCATTTGGGTGAGAGCTTGGGATTTTGGGCTCCTCAGCAGCCTTCCCGAGGAGTTTGGGAGAAGCTTGGTACCAGGCTGTGACCCTCTGTTACAGCAGGATGGGGAAGGTCTGGCCAAGCTCCTCTTGAGTTTGTCGCTTTTCCTTGCCACCTTCTCCTGTTCTCAGCAGTGCCGTCAGACAGAGGAACATCAGAGTTTACTCCTGCAGTTGCTCAGTACAGTGTGCTTTTGCCAAAGCAGTGAGAAGGAAAGGCAGGAAGGGATGCAGTGGCTGCTGTCTGCCTCTCTGCTTTGGACCAATTTTGTGCCCTTCAAACTGTTGTCCTGGAGACCAGCACAATCGCTTTGATGAATTCCCTTTCTTTTTTTTTTTT